CATCATCATCATCATCATCATCATCTAACCTTGACAGTAACATGCAATATTGTTATGTGCATAAGAATGTACACCCAAGTAACATGCCGTGAGAATAGCAACAGTCAGCTCAATCTAAAAATATATTACAACAAATTATAAAGATCCTGAACTGACTCCAGTGGAGCAGTTCACTGATTACTCGAGCCAATCTAAACAGTCCCTAAACGGTCTCCCTAAATTATACTTCAACAAAACCAGACCTTGATCTGAGTTTGTAGTTCACCAACTCGAATCAAATCCAAGAAGCGTAATCACTTCCCAAAACGGTCTCCTTGGTGACTGGCGCCGAGATAGGAGACAAGAACTGGCGTGCAGAAGTACTCGATCCAGCACCAGAGTTGTTGTACTCATAGTAAGCCGGTGTAGCACCCTGCGCCATTGTGGTCCACCCCTTGGCATTGATCAAACTGCCCAGGTTGGAGTTCTGGTAGATGACGCGAGCAAGGACTCTCCAAGGACGGCCAAGGTATACCGTGCCATCGGCGACAGCAAGAGACGCAGCCTTGACATTGCAGTCCTCAAATACAAACCAGGTCTCGTCGCTGGCTACTTCACGCGAACTGGCAGTGACAACGCCCGGGCCATTGGAGATGATGTCGCAGTTATTGAACCAGGCAGAGGCATCACCGAAGATGTAGTCCACGGCTCCTAGGAACTGTTAGAATTGATAGTGAGATAGACGGAGGCAGAAGCTTATTTACCCTCAATCTTGGAGTTGGCATAGTACTGTGTTCCCGCCTTAGCATACACGGTATCCTGGTAACCAACAAACTGGCATGCGTAGAAGCTGAGTTTATCGGCATTGGCGACGATTCTGGTGGAGTCAGCTAGTGATTTCAATCCCATAGCAAGAAAGAGATACTCACGCAACAGCCTGTGCACCCTTTCCGAACTCGTTCGCCACATTGATGTTGTGCATCTTGAACAGAGAGGTGACAACATTCACAGTTGCACTCTTATCCAACGAACCAGCTACGGGCGAAGAGATCGTGTGGGTGATCGTCACGGTATTCTCCTTGTACGTATCCACATCGGTAGTCTGGCCATACATCGTCAGAGCACCGGGATAGTTGACAACGAGCTGCTCCTTGTAGGTGCCGCTTGCGACATAGATACAAGCCGGTGCAGAGGAAGTGCCGAGGGCAGTCAGGGCAGCGCCAATAGTCGAGTACTTCCCATTGGAGCCGACGGTCAGGCAGCCTGCGGGCGCACTGGTTCTAGCTGTGCGAGCAGCTAGGTCGGTGGGTGCGGCCAGGACAGCCGCGCCCAGGGATAGGGCTGCGACGAGGAGGTTTTGTGGATGCATTTGGTTGGAAATGGTTCTACCAAGCAGATATGCAAAGACTATTGATTTAAATACATCTGATTTCAAAGATATCACTAGTACCGGTGTTTTCAAGGTGAAACTTCACGTGAGCCCACGGGAGCTGCGTAAGAGACAAAATGAGACAATTTCCCCGAAACCTTCCCACAAGCGGCAAGATCTTCTTGGCCTTCGTTAAGGGGGTTAATATATATTTGACCCAATACATCCGCAGTACCCCGAAGATAAATTGTCTTAATCCTCTTAATGTAGATCGGGGAAAATCAATGCCAAAAACTCATCGGAGGATTACTCATGGGGTACCCAAAAAGAGATTCTAGACCCTCCCGCGAATGGAAAATGAAGATCTTCCTTCAAAGAATTATTCCTCGAATGGCAGGCCGGGGACTAAGATAGGGATGTTTCAGGCTGTTTTGTTGACTCGTTCACGAAAATCGTCCAAGTGCAAAAACAGCCAAGAGCATGATCGGAACAGGAAATCGAGACAAGAAAACGTGTAAAATCAACAATCTACTAGAGACATAGTTCGATTCTCAGGCTAGAGCTGTACCTGTAATCTCTGGCACGATGTTGATTACAAAGGTCCTCCCAGTCTTTGCGCTCCTCGGCGCATCTCTTGCTCAGGACAAAACAAGACATCATCATCCTGCTCGTGCTTCAGCTTGCACACCAGTAGCAGGTGGATCAGCCTCAATTGACGATGTTCCTGCTATCACATCGGCAATTGCCAAATGCGGAAAGGGAGGCATCATCGTCATCCCCGCTGGCAAAACCTACAACTTGAACAGCCCATTGGATTTTGCGGGATGTGTGGGCTGTGACTTCCAGCTGGAAGGCACCTTGAATTTCAGCGCGTCGACAGAGATCTGGAAGGGACAGACAGCAATGATCAACATCAAGAACATCCAGGGACTTAAAATCCGGTCCCTGGAAGGCCAAGGAGTCATTGACGGAAATGGGCAAGCGTCGTATGCATTGCTTTCCTTCTGAGTTTTGATTTCGCCGGGCTCGGTTCATTAATATTATGTATAGATGGGACCTTTTCGCCAAAGACAGCAGCTACCGTCGCCCAACCCTGCTCTACATCACCGGCGGCTCTGACATCGAGGTCTCCAACCTCCGCCAAACGAACTCCCCCAATGTCTTCAATTCCATTCAAGGCAACACCAAGACGGCGATTTTCTTCAATCTGCACATAGAAGCCACCTCCAGCAGCGACAATAAGCCCAAGAATACAGACGGCTTTGACATCGGGGCCAGCACAGACGTAACCATCAGCAACGTGAGCGTGACGAACAACGATGACTGCGTGGCATTCAAGCCCGGCGCAGATGGCGTCATTGTCAAGGACCTTACCTGTATTGGAAGCCATGGACTGTCGGTGGGATCGCTGGGCAAGAATAATAAGGACTTCGTGAAGAATGTGCAGGTATCTGGCGCGAGGATGAGTAAGTCGACCAAGGCAGTGGGCATCAAGACGTATCCCTCTGGTAACGGTCATGCCAAGTCGACAGTGAGCAACATTACCTTCTCGGATATTATTGTCGATGGGTGTGACTATGCGATTCAGATCCAGAGTTGCTATGGAGAGGATGCAGATAACTGTGTGAAGAATCCTGGGGATTCGGATTTGACAGGCATTGTCTTTCGGAATGTTAGTGGGAAGACAAGTGGAAAGTATCAAGCTGTTACAGGCAGTCTGTTGTGTGGATCTCGTGGGGTCTGTGATATTGAGGTTGATGGTTACACTGTTGTGGCACCCATTGGGGGAAGTGAGGTGCAGTGTGCCAATACCCCGTCGAAATTGGGGGTAATGTGCACTTCCGGTACCTCGAGCTGAAAGTGGAGAAGATCTGTGTATAGTTGTGTGTATTCTATGCGGATAATTATGTGGATATGCGAATTAGAATGCTGAACACGGAAAAAAAAAGCTCTATGCAATTTTGCGGTATATAGATATATTGTCGTCATGCAAGTACAAATTCTAGAGCAGGACACCCAAACCCGTTCGTTCATGTTTACGAGGAAGCAATCGTCTTATCCTTTACGTAGAGGTCGACATATTTGTCGACATCATGGTTTTCCAGCTGAGAGCGGTTCCAGCCCAACTCCAGCAGCTCATCAACGCGAGCCTGGTCAAAGTGCGCCTCTAGGTGACGCTTGTACTTGGCCAGAATCTCAGGCTTGGCCTCCTCACGGCGGAGACGGTGGCCCAGAGGAGCCTCGACAACGACCTCTTCGAGGACAGTGCCATCGTTAAGGGTGACAGTCAGTGCATTGGGGATGGTGCGCTTGCTGGGGTCGTGGTAGTCGGTAGTGAACTTGGTGTCCTCGACACAGCGGATCTTCTTGCGGAGCTCCTCCAACAGAGGGGAGGTGGCGGCCTCAGAGCCGTCAGCGTAGTCGCTAGCAGTCAGGCGGCCGAAAACGAGCATAGTGGCAACCATATACTGAACACAGTGGTCGCGGTCGGCAAAGTTGTCCATCTCCTTGAACTGCTTGTCGATGATGCGGATGCACGCCTCGTGTGTGCGGTTAGTGATCTCCTTAATATCCTTGGCACTCTTGCCCATAGCCTCAAGCTTGGCATTGACCTTTTCAGCGGCCTCAATGGCAGTCTGCGAGTGGAACTCGGCTGTTCAAAACAGGAGTTAGCTGTTGTCAACCCCCCATACAGTGTAGTTTTTGGCAAAAGCTTCTTGCACTCACCAGGATAGGAAACCTTGAACAGAACGTTCTCCATGACGTAACTGCCGTAGGGGCGCTGGAACTGGAACTTCTTGCCCTTGAACAGGACATCGTAGAAGCCCCAGGTAGGAGCAGATAGAACGGTGCGGAGACCACCCTCACCCTTCTGGACCTTGAGCACCAGGTTGACAGCGCGCTGGCAGGCGTCACCAGCAGCCCACGACTTACGCGACATGGTGTTAGGCGAGTGGCGGTAGGTACGAAGAGACTGGCCGTCCACCCAAGCCTGGGTGATAGCATCGGCGGTCTGCCTCTCAGTAAGACCCAGCAGCTTGGAGACGACAGCGGCGGTCGCGACCTTGACGAGAACAACGTGGTCGAGGCCGACCTTGTTGTAGGAGTTCTCCAGAGCCAGGACACCCTGGATCTCGTGAGCCTTGATCATGGCCTCCAAAACATCATGGATCTTCAGAATTTTGCCGTTACCAAGGTTTCCACCGGCGCGGTTGGTGCGCGAGATCCAGTCGGCCACAGCCAAGATACCACCTAGGTTGTCCGAGGGGTGACCCCACTCGGCAGCGAGCCAGCAGTCATTGTAGTCGAGCCAGCGGATCATAGCACCGATGTTGAAAGCGCCATTGACGGGATCCAGCTGGTAAGGTGTACCGGGCACACGGGTACCATTGGGGACCACAGTACCGTCCACAACGGGACCAAGGAGCTTCGCGCACTCCTTGAACTTCAAAGCCTCCAATCCACAGCCAAGGGTGTCTAGGAACACCAGACGGGCAGTGTCAAACTGCGAACATCAAATTTTAGAGTTAGCCGGTGCTCCATCTTACCGAGCTGGGGCCAACTTACTGCCAAGTCGGAATCCACTTTATAGTCATGGATGTAACTAGCCATATCCTGAATTTCAGGATCATAGGATTTTTCGGTATGAACCGCCGGGGCATTAGATTGACGAGCGGCCATTGTAGAGAAACGGGGAGTTCGAGGAACAGATATACGAGGAGTAATGGAGAAGGAAGAAGCCAAAGTGGGAATTCTGGAGATGCGGGCCAAAGTGCGGGGAGACGTGTGGGTCAGGCGTCTCACTGCTGGCAGGGACATTGTGAAAGAAGAGTTGGTAATTTGATCGAAAACGAGCACCCAACAATTGACACAATTGAGAGAAAGAGAGGGGAAGGTAGTAATTTATTTGAAAACCAATGGACGAAAGGACAATTGTTGGGGCAGAAAGGGAGAAAATGACCGGGGAAGAGTTCCAAGCTGACTTCATCCTGGCGAGGGTCGGTTACAGTCGGGTATCACTTCACTCCACCCATGAACACCGCCTATGTTCATAGGATTAGTATAGGTCGGCAAGTCCAAATTGTACTCGTACGTTCTCCAAAAGTCGAATGTACAGCTACGATACCGTCTGTTGAGCTCCTTAGAACAGGGGAAATCCGAATTTCGGATGTAAACAAAACTGCAAGAGACAATAGCTGCAAGTTGTAGCGAAATCGGAATACACTTCGGTCCGAATATGCAAGAAAGAGCAATTGAGGTGCAAAAAGCCTTTGTACTTAGATGGAGCTCACACCGAGCTCACAGCCCCTTGGCCCTCGGCTAATCAGCACCCCCATCCCCAGTCTCCAGTCCCCAACCCCCTGTTATCTGCGCATTCATCTGCTTTTTCTCATCATCTCCCTCGCCATCCCCCTCGCTGATGAGTCAGTGGAGGATTCCCATGGCCTCCTCTGTGTCAGTCTCACGCAGAGACTTGACGATCTCTCCATAAATAGCCTTGGCGAAAAGCGGGGGCACGGCATTCCCAATTTGCTTGCGCATGAATCTCCCGGTAAATTGGAAGTCTAGAGGAAATGTCTGCAAGAGGGCCATCTCACGACTGGTATAGGGCCGGGTGCCCGAGGGGTGGTAGTTATATTCCCCGCCTCCGCAAGTTATGGTCCTAGCTAGAGAATGGCGATTAAACGATGGTCGGTGGCTCAGAGCCCACCGAGCCAGTGCCCCTTCAACATTGTGATCGTCAGCATCAGGAGGTATATTGTCTATGGTGGATGAAATGGTCTCTCGAGGAAGTAGACCGTGACCAGGCACGCCATGGGTGGGTTGGGCGTAATGTGGCAGAACTTCGCCGGGTCTATGAGCACGTGGTTAAAAGATGTATTGTGGGAAAAAAAAAAAGCTTCGTCTTTCACATCACTTACCCCGCAGCAATGAGAAGTAGCCTCTTCCGCTCCTGAGGCACACCATATTCGTCACACCCCAACACTGACCAGCGAACAGAATATCCAAATTCAACCATGTCCAGTACAACTCGGTTGAAGATAACAGGAAATCGCTGCGGCAACCCCATGGTTTCCTCCATAGTCAACACCCGGGGGCGTGACTCTCGAATCAGACTGCCAGCCGAAAATACGCACGCGGAGTTGGCGTCATCGCGAGGGCAGGGTACAGTATGAGCTGGTGACCAGGTTTGACAAGGGGGTGAGCAGTGTGCAATGTCAACTCTCAAAAATTTCGAATCGTTGGTCAGAAAACTGAAAAAGTCGGAATGCTCGACCTCGACCTCATGAAAGTTCAGTTGGTAGGTTTCCAGGGCATGCTTGTCGATATCAACGGCCCATTGGAGCTTCACGCCGGCCTGCTTGGCCCCGCAAGACACACCACCAGCACCACAGTAAGCATCACCAAAGGTGTATGCACGTTCAGGAGTAGTCAGATCAATGACGCCCTCTCGTTCAAGATCTCTAGCCATAGAAGACGCCCTAGCCTCACCGAAAGGCACAGTCTGGCCTCTCCATTCGGCACGTAGCTGGTTCGCAGGCTTGCCAAGTCCTAGGTCTGATTCGGCACATGTCAGCCATTCAATTGCACACTGCTCTGCACTCAAAGGTGCATTACCAGGAATGATGACGACTCCGTTCTGGCGAATGGTGAGCTTCAATCGGCAAGTCAGGACTTCTCCCGGTGCGAGGTGGTTGAAGTCCGTGCGATAGTTGGTGAATCGAATGGGCACAACCCGCCTGACTTTCTTAACGCTGACGTGGTCTGTGTTCTGGGTGAGCCAGACCAACTCATCATTGAGTTTTGGCAAATACGTCTTCGCTTCTGGATGAGTCGTCCGGTAAAGACGCCGGCCGAAAAACCGTAGGTCATGAGGCTGAGGAATCACATCCTCGACACGCATGAAAGAGCCATCATCAAGCTCCAAGGATATTCCGGCTTTTAAAACGATACCCCCAATTTTTATTCCTTGCTGCGCTGTCTGTGGCGTTGGGCTGCAGCTGACGGACTGGTTACTGACGAAAGAAGAATGGCCGGAGGAAGACCGGTCACTCGCTGAGTCGTCGCCGGGGGCGATGGCGGAGGGAGCCGCAACATTTGCCATGTTAGAGGTCAATTCCTCCATGGCTTGATCGCTTTCATCGTCACATGTCAGGTCAATCACGGACTGCAAGTTCTCGGCGGGGCGGAAGGAGGTATGACTGGCCTCCTGCATGGGTGAATCATTGAAGATCGCCGACGAGTCCGACATGACGATGTCGTCGTCAGCCATTGTTGGCTCATGAGTTACTGCTCGGAACTCCGCCGTGCTGACTGAAATTGGGTCTCCAAAGGGAGACACCGAGATACGGGATCGATCACTGACAACAGCCATTGGTGTGATGGTTGACTGATAAAAGTGTTTCATACTCGGTTTGTGCGAGGATACGAATCTAGGTTTGAAAACTGGGTGAATTAAACAAATTTCAATATCAATCCGATGGATGATATTAGGGTCTGGCAGAGTCTCAGGTTCAGATGGCCTTCAGAAATGCTCCTACTGCTATAGCCGGGGGCTCGAAGCCAGCCTTGCGCCAATAGACGCAATTTTGGCTCAGAGAGATGTAATGTAAAGATAAGTGGCAGAAGGCTTTGACAAGATGCTTTGCCGGATCTTCTTTACATAACAAGTCAACTGAAGCTATTCATACGGGTTCGTCTATGTATTTCTATTTGGTCAACAAAGCAGAGATGACATATAGTTCTGTGAAGCATCAAAGACTGGAATAAAGCTACGGTATCCACGGTATCGCATTGAAGGTGATTCTTCCGAGCTGGTTTGTACATCCCTTCATGGTTGTATATCAACGATCAACTCTATAGACGCTTGTCCCGTTCTGGATAGTAGGGCATGGGCCCCGGGGATATGGGGCATTGCTTACTCATGACATAGCCCCGTGGTCGGCTCAGGTCGGCCCGGATGAGAGATGAAAAAAATTTAATTTTGTGGGGCAGCACAACGACCGAAGGAACATAACTGCCATGGAATATTTCTCTCCCTCTCTTTGTCTTCTTGGGGTGGTGTTCATTTCTAGTGATGACCATTCTCTAAACTTCACTCCTTTTTTTAAGTGATCCGGTTTGGTAAGTTGCATGGTTCTATCATTTTCAGCTTTCAGCTTTGATAAAAATTTTCCCCTCCCTGTCTCTTGTGATGAATTATGGTTTTTTTTATAGATGTTAGACTTCCTAAACAATTGTTGCGGAGAAACACCTGAACTGATTTGAGACACTGCAATCTTGCTAAACACTGTGAATGCAATGGATGAACACTGGCACTAATTGTCTTCGTCCTTCCCAGAAACCCTACCCTCCATCAGGATGTGTGGTATCATTGCGCTGATCCAGGCGAACCCCTCATCTGCGGCCGCTGTGGATCTCCACGAGGCCCTTTACCTTCTCCAACGTGAGTTCCGGCCAGAATTTATACACCTGCGACCGTGAGACTAAAAGGTTTTGGTACCATAGATCGTGGTCAGGATGCAGCCGGTATTGCAACATGCGCGTCCGGTGGTCGGATCTACCAACTCAAGGCCAACGGCATGGCTGCCAAGGTCTTTCAGGAAGGTGCTAAGGTAGCCAACCTCCCCGGCTCTATGGGTATTGGCCATCTGCGGTATCCGACCGCGGGATCCAGTGCCAACGCCGAGGCCCAGCCGTTCTACGTGAACAGCCCCTACGGTATCTGCTTTGCGCACAATGGTAACTTGATCAATGCCGGAGACCTCAAGAAGCACCTCGACCTTGAGGCCCACCGTCATATCAATACCGACAGTGACAGCGAGCTGATGCTCAACGTCTTTGCTGATGAGTTAAGCGAGACCAAGAAGGCCCGTGTCAACCACGAGGACCTCTTTGCCAGCTTGACTCGCATGTACAAGCGTTGCGAGGGTGGATGGGCTTGCACTGCTATGCTTGCTGGTAAGTTACCAATTATCCGTGGTATGCTCCAGTCTTATGGTGCTAACTCGCGATCCAGGCTTCGGTATATTGGGTTTCCGTGACTCATACGGCATCCGTCCTCTCATTTTGGGCTCTCGTCAGTCCGCTGATGGACCTGGAATGGACTACATGATGTCCTCTGAGTCAGTAGCTCTGGACCAGCTGGGGTTCACCAACCACCGTGACATTCAGCCAGGCGAGGCGGTTATCATTGCCAAGGGTGGTGAGCCGGTCTTCCGCCAGGTGGCTCCCAAGAAGGCCTATGCCCCGGATATTTTCGAGTATGTCTACTTCGCTCGCCCTGACTCCATCATGGATGGCATCAGTGTTTACCGTAGCCGGCAACGCATGGGTGACCGTCTCGGTGCACGGATTCTTGATGTCCTGGGTCCTGAGGTTGTCAAAGACATTGACGTGGTCATTCCAATTCCTGAAACGGCTACTACTTCTGCGTCCAATGTCGCACTATACCTGAATAAACCTTACTGCCACGGTTTCGTTAAGAACCGTTACGTCTTCCGTACTTTCATCATGCCGGAGCAAAAGACACGGCAACGAGGCGTCCGCCGCAAGCTCAATGCCATGAAGGCTGAGTTCAAGGACCGCAACGTCCTGCTGGTCGATGACAGTATTGTGCGTGGCACAACAAGTCGCGAAATCGTCAACATGGCCCGGGAAGCTGGTGCCAAGAAGGTCTACCTTGCCAGTTGTGCACCGGAGATCACGCATGCTCACATCTACGGTATCGATCTTGCCTCTCCTCAAGAGCTGGTTGCGCACAATCGGAACTCGGAGGCCATCGCCAAGCACATTGGCGCGGAGGCGGTTGTCTTCCAAACTCTATCTGATCTCAAGGACGCCTGTGCTGAGGTTGCTCGTGAGAATGGCCAGGAAGAGCCTACAAACTTCGAGGTCGGTGTCTTCTGTGGTAGCTACATTACTCCCGTTTCATCCGGTTACTTCGAACATTTGGAGTCCGTCCGTGGCGAAGGCCGCAAGGTCAAGGCTATTAACAAGGCAAAGGAGGCTGTCACCAATGGCTTTGCCAACATGACCGACTTCCAGATCGCTGCCCACGGAGTCACTATGGACACAAACGGCAAGATCATCCCTGCCATTGATAACGAATCTTCGGCGATTGGTGCTGCCAAGCAGGCTAGCCACACTGAAGAGCAACATAACCCGAAGGTCTCCGACCGCATGGACATTAGCATCCACAACCAGGCTGACCATGAGGCATGATAACGAGACATCTGATTTTTCCTTTTTTTTAAATTTTTTTCTCTCCGCCATTTTGGTATTTTGCATTGGGTGTCTGGGCGTTTGTTTGAGGGAGCATATATGCCGAGTGGCTGATTTGCCGCTACATGATGTGGAAATGATTTGAAAATGCCAACTTCCGGTGTCTCTAGATACACTTGTCAATAACTCTGGATGAAGCTAAATTTAATGCAACATTCCTATGCTGTTGAAGTTATGCTGTTTTTCATTTTGGCCATTGTGCCAAAGAGGCAGGTCACGTGTCTATGTCATTGGCCAGTAGCATCATCGGCAGACCCACAATGCGATCATCTGCGTTGAACAGGTTTAATTTTTTAAACTTGAATCCTCCGTCAATGGTTAAGATCAATTGATGCACCTTGATATAACGGTTATCTGTTCTCGGTTCTTGTACACGTGGCTGCCTGTGCAAACGAAATTGATGTATGTTGGAGGCCGTCTGGCCTGACTTTCTCTATTATGGAACGCCGCATCACTCGCTCTGCAACACGAGCTGCCGCTACATTGTTTGAAGGAGAAGAGAACAGCCCTTCTATCGCTCGGGCACAAAACACCACTAAAGTGAACAAACGGAAACGTCTCAATCCCACTGGCAATTTCAATGACCCCAATACTCAGTATACATCCAAAACCGAGCCAACCACTGAGTCGAAATCCTCCAAAGATTCAAATCCAACAATTAAGCAAGAGAAGCCAGTGTTGCCCCCAGGCATGTTTGATGAACTCCCTCACAACCTAGGACCTGTCCCGACACCATTGTCTAAAGCAATAGGGCCCACAGCCTCAATTGCTGGATCTGACAAGGAAAACCAAACTGTAAGGGAAAATCCGGTTTTTAATCTGGCTATAGAACTTGAAGACACTGTGAACAAAGCACCGACGAAGTTGAAGAAAGATTCCAAGATTCAAACTACCCCAATCGGCCGCAAGCCAAAAAAAAATACCTATGGCTTGACGCCTGGTATCTCACCTTTCCCGGAACTGGCTCGACCAACTGCTGGGGAGTGTGAAGATGTCAATCAGTTGTTGTCCAGCATTCATGGCGTATGTAATGCTCCAGAAACCATACCTGAGCCCTCCCTGTCAGTCACCGGGTGTGGTGAGGTCCCATCCGTTCTGGATGCTTTAATCCGCACTCTTCTCAGCGGTGCTACCACAGGCAACAATGCTGCCAAGGCCTTTGGCGGGCTTGTGCAACGATTCGGCATTCTTTCAGAAGGCATTGGCAAGGGAAGTGTCAATTGGGATGCCGTACGACAAGCCACTGTGAAAGACGTGTTTGAAGCGATCAAAAGTGGTGGTTTGGCCGACGTCAAAAGCAAGAACCTCAAGGCGATTCTTGACATAGTCCACGAGGACAACCAGGCACGCCGAGCTACATTGCTAGATTCTGAGTCCAAGATAGACTCATTGTCCAAGCTGGTCCCCGAAAAGGCAGAAACGGATAAGCAATACGAGATTGCCTGCGCAGATCAGAACTTCCTCTCCCTCAACCACCTCCACAATCTCAGCACTGAAGAAGCCATGACCAATCTGATCAAGTACCCCGGAATCGGGCCTAAGACAGCCGCCTGCGTGATCCTGTTCTGCCTCCAGCGGCCTTGTTTCGCCGTCGACACGCATATCTTCAGGCTCTGCCGCTGGCTCGGATGGATTCCTGCCCATGCAAACGAAGTCACTGCCTTCAGTCACCTAGAAGTGCGCGTCCCGGACTACTTGAAGTACTCGCTCCACCAGCTCTTCATCCGGCATGGAAAGACCTGCCCCCGGTGCCGAGCTGCTACCGGCGAGTCTAGTGCTGGATGGGAGGACGGCTGTGTCATTGATCATCTTTTAGCTCGCGACGGGAAGCGCAAATGCAGCGGCCGGACTATGGATATCAAGAAGAAGTCAGCTGCTAAGAGAGCAGTTGGTAAGCGTAAGAGAATGAACAATGACTCCGAAGAGGAGACTGAGGAAAGCGAGGGTTCGATTTCTGATGAAACGAGTGACGAGTGAACGTATTAATGACAACGAAATTATGTGAACCGAAGGTGGAATCTTTACGAAACGAGGATTGATCGCATTGACTTTTTACCCAATATTTGTACTCTGTATTAAGAAATATTTGCCGTGTTGCTCATGCTCTTATTGCTAAACACAAACATCAATTTCCTTAACCAGGATTCGCGATGTTTCCTAGATGATCGCCAGTCTATCTTGTAGTTGTAGGTAGCCCCGGCGCCGTGTGGACACTTATCGTCTTATCGCAAACCCAAGTCACCACGAACTCCCTGTACTCTCCCAACTACACTTTCCAGTTGTCCAATTGCACCATTCCCGCCATGGGTTGTCTGGTCTCCCACATTCCAGGCTCGCTGCGTATTCTTCTAGAGGCCTACGCGCCTCCCGGTTCGGTAGAGTACGCCCCGCACATCGGAGTCGCGTTGACCTCCTTTGTCGCCGTATACGTGGGGTACCTCTACCTTCAGAGCTGGAGAGAGGCAGCGGTCGTTTTCAATGTTCCCATCCCATTCGAAGTGCGCAAGAACGGATCGATCAAGGCATGGGATGAGGTTCAGGGCCAGCCGAAACTGGTGTTGCAGGATCAAGCTCGCGGAGTGAGTCAACAAGCCTAGTCTTTGGCTCAGGATCCTTTCAATGCGTGTTCGCTCCCTTATGCTTGAGCTAACTGCTATTTAACTGCGCAGAAATGGAGCCATCAACTGATTATGAGCTACTGTCCTGCTGATGGGAGGGTGCTCGGTGATGGAATCAAGCCCGCCACCGTCGAAGATATCAACGAGGTCGTTCGGGTTGCGAAAGCTGCTCAGCCGGAGTGGGCAAAGACTACGTTTGCGGAGCGCAGAAAAGTTCTCCGGACACTGTTGAAGTATGTGGATTGGAATATTTGCTCCGTCCTATGAAACCATTGCGCCTTGCCTACGGCGCCCCATAAAGCTTGTCCACTAACATCTCACAGATATGTCCTAGACCACCAAGAAGACCTCGTTACCGCATGCTGTCTCGATTCGGGTAAAACAAAAGTTGACGGCTCATTCGGCGAGATCCTTGTGACGGTGGAGAAGCTCAAGTGGACAATCGACCATGGCGAGAAGGCACTGCTACCAGAGCAGAGGCCGACCAACTTCCTGATGATGTACAAGAAAAACACAGTCACGTACGAACCCCTAGGCGTAGTGGGTGCCTGTGTGTCCTGGAACTACCCGTTACACAACTTCATCGGTCCGATCATCAGCGCGCTTTTTACCGGTAACGCAGTTGTTGTCAAACCGTCCGAGCAGACCGCATGGTCTGCGATCTACTTCCTCGATATGGTGCGTGGTGCGCTCTCTAGCTGTGGCCACTCACGCGATCTGGTCCAGACGCTAGTCTGTCTACCCAATGTTGCCGATGCATTCACATCGCACCCTGATATTGCGCATCTAACCTTCATCGGATCACGACCTGTTGCCCACCATGTCTGCACATCAGCAGCAAAGTCACTAATCCCCGTATGTGTCGAGCTGGGGGGCAAAGACCCAGCTGTGATCTTGGACGACTCCCGCACTCTCCGAAACCTCTCTTCCATCGCGTCTCTCCTCATGCGCGGCGTCTTCCAATCTTCTGGCCAGAACTGCATCGGTATCGAGCGTATTATCGCTCTTCCCAGCGCATATGAACGCCTCATCGAAATTGTAACCCCACGCATTCAAAATCTACACCTCGGCTCTGTCCTGCTCGATACCGCAACCCCAGACGTTGGTGCGATGATCTCACCTGTCTCCTTTGCCAATCTTGAGACACTAATCAACGAAGCGGTGCAACAAGGCGCACGTCTCCTTGCCGGCGGCACCGAACATAAACACCCAGTCCACCAACACGGCCACTACTTTACACCAACCCTGCTAGTTGACGTGACACGCGACATGCGTATCGCGCAGACAGAGCTCTTCGCCCCCGTGTTCCTCATGATGCGTGCCGAGTCCGTATCCGACGCAATCGCTATCTCAAACTCAACTCCCTACGCACTAGGCGCCAGCGTCTTCGGGCACCGACAAGCGGACGTGCAAGCTTGCGTGTCGAAAATCTCCGCCGGGATGGTAGCGATCAACGACTTCGGTGCCTTTTACGCTGTGCAGCTGCCGTTCGGCGGTGTTCGCGGATCTGGATATGGCCGGTTCGCGGGTGAGGAGGGACTGCGCGGTCTGTGCAATCTCAAGGCTGTTTGCGCTGATCGGTTCCCTACTTTGATTGGTACTGGCATCCCGCCGCGTGTGGACTATCCTATTCAGAATCGAGACAACGCGGCGGACGCTAAGGGTGGTGTTGCAGCTTGGGAGATGTGTAAGGGCATCGTTGAGACGGGATATCAGTTGACGCTGGATGGGCGTCTTGCTGGTATTCTGCGGTTGTTGAGAAATCTATGATGGGTTTGCTCTTCCGAAAATCGGTTCGAATTCATGTTTAATGTCGATATTTTGTACTATACATAGTCCATCTTGCTATGGGTGTTGCCTCTGGCTGTGGGAAGATTCAATTCATAATAATTGATTCTTTATGATCCTTATGGGGGACTCTATGGTACATGTCATGAAATCTAAATCCGGGTATAGCGCTAACAACAAAGGCATGATAAGACTACTCGCAACAATCTCATGGAGGAAGAGGACTGGATTTCTTCAGCCAATGATCCTCAGTCCGGAATGAACTTTCTGTCATCCAATTTCCCATTGGTTCACGTAAGGGATCAAGAACCTCATCGACAAAGCGGCAACCCTCGAGATCCATGACATCCAACTGGCCATTACAGAACAGCTGGCCAGTCGGGAAATCATGGGCATACGCAACCTGCGCAGGGAGACGCAGCAGGAAATTCGACAACCAGCGCGCAAACTTGCCATTAATCTGGTTGTACGTACTCGGATTCTTCTTCGCGAGTTCCATATTGTCGACAGTCCACTTCGTGATCTCAGACGACCAGCTAGGCAAAGATTCCGCACTAGCACGTAGGAGAGCCTCGAAGAAAGCCAAGTTTAGATGTGGGTTGTTGCGGCCGATGCGGGTAACAGCGAGGAAGTGCTCGGATGGGATCGTATAGTAGACGCTGCGGCCTTGGTTCTCTGCTTTATAGCGGAAGAGGAACTCGTCTATCTTGAGGAGGGAGAGCATAGCGTTGAAGTTCTGGTGACGGATAGCATTCTGGATTCCTTCGTTCAGAGCTTTGCGGTCGATTTTTGTCAAGGTCGATAGTGACAAGGAGCTCTTTTCAGGGGTCCAATTGCACGAGGTTATGCGCAGCATTTCCAGGAAAGCAACGTCTTCTGGAAGGAAACCATTTCTGCGGCCTCGGAGGAGATGGGATGGGAATTTGCACAGGTCCAGTGCAGGGAGATTGACAGTCAATCCCACATCCACACATTGGAACTCTGTGGTGACCATTGGCAAGATGTGGAGCTTGTATTCGTGAATGCCTTTCATCGCGTTCGGGGCCATCCGGAAGAACTCTGGGGGCATGCTAGCAAATTCCTTCATTGGCCCGCCCTTGCCGTGGAAGATGCGGACGCTGTCATCCTTGCGTGCTAGTAGTTTTTCAAAAGCAATCTGCTCGTCTTTCTCCGTCACGATACCGGCGTCGATCCAGCGACGGTAGATAGTCAGGATCTGCATTGTCGGGATCTGTTCACGCACGCGATCCGCGGTACACCACCTGCACTTGAAAATGTCTTCCTGTAATCGGGCACGTTCTTCCAGTTTGAGAGGGACATATTCGAGCGGGACCATCATGCGGTCGATGGCCTTGCTACGGGGGTTGTCGAGTGCATCGTTCCAAAACGCAAGGAGTATGAGAGCGCGGTAGATGTGTTCGCCGGAGAGGGCGCGGCATAGGAATGGCGAAGCTCGGGGGAAGTTTAAATTGAGTGAGTGCAGGAAGATCTGCTCGATGATCTCGACCGGGAGAGCCTCGAGGAGGGACAACATCCGGCGGGGAGTATGCGGGCGCGAGATTCTAGGCTTGGGCGAATTAGAAGGACGTTCGTAAGGGCTCGACCTTGACCGAGAGGACCGAGAGTACCGAGAGGATCGAGCTAAGCTGCTTCGAATCGGTTTCTTGAAGGTGCGACCTGGTCGGCGCTTCGATTTGGGGATCGCGGAAGGATGGATGCTGCTTGCGGGCTCAGGCGGAGCAAACTTTGGCCGCGTCACGAATTCATCTTCGCCTTTTGGGGGGCTCATGGAGCAATCGAACCTTCACTATCTGGGGTACCTGGATCTGTGAGGGTGAATCTGGTATGATGGTATAATGGCCATTCGGTGTTGTAGTATGTGCTTTGCACCACTATCAACCTCAAATAGTATACAACCTTGGAACGTTGCAGGCCAAGTCCGAGCCCTACCCTTGTCTGATTGGCGGAAAAGAGCCCGACAGGCAGTGGCTTGGCGTTAGGGCTTGGCATTGGAGGGCATTCAGGTCACATGATATCTAATTGGGTTAAGCCTGTTATCAAATGACGTCAAGGACTATCTGCAAGAGAGTCATTGCAGAGCCACAAGAATATCATCAAGATCTTTCAAAAAGGGTTCAATATGGGTAAAGTTGAAGTTCATATTACTTTTGAACAAACCTGAAATCAAGGAATGTCAGTGTGTCGAGATGACGGAATGATCTATTGGACAACACCCCTGAAACCCTGAGTGGCTCCATTAAACATCTACTACTTCTGAGCTTCAATCTTTCTCTTTCATTTTTCATCAAACCTTGGAATTTTGTCGTGGCTACTCCAACGACGTCACTGGCGTCTGCACTTGTAATTTCTGACGCATCGTAAGACAAGCTTCACTGCACGAACTTGTCTATCAATCACCTTTTTTAGACACCACTTACGTACCTGGACGAAAACTGTTTGTCCCGGCCTGAGACATTCTGCCTGGGACATCCTCACTACGACTCTTTATTTAAACCACCTCTCCATCTGCCTCAATATCCTCAACATGCACCCTTTCAGTGATCCAACCGTCCATACACACGCTTCCTCCAGCTCAGAGTCGATTCTCACACCTAAACCGAGATAAATCAACAAGAAAGCTCTTCGTCTTCAAGATGGGTGCCGTCGTCTCTTGTGTATGTGAACGCGCATCTGTTCTCCAAGAAAATTCAACTAACTTACAACTTACCTGCCTCTAGATCCAAAGCGTCTTCCGCGCAATCGGTAGCTGCCTCATGGCTATTGTTAATGCAATCGGTTCCATCTGCCACGCCATTATCAGCGGTGTCGTCACAGTGATCGATGTTATCATCTCCTGCCTGACCTGCGGCTACTGTGGAAAACGCCGGCGAGGTCGTCGATCAGCAGTTTGATGAGAAACAACTACCATGTCTGCACAACCCTTTTGAGGCCATGGAAATGAAATGGCTAGCTACGGGCTCTATGATTGTTATGCCGGTGCAGATTTTCTTTTGCCATTCTGTCTTGTTGGAATATACCCTGCGATGCCTGCCGTTCTTATTTGTGAATCGCAAATTGAATTCTACAATTTGAAATTCTTTGCATCCACGTATGTTGAGTGTCTTCTAAAGATGATGGGCATAAAATTGTAGAAGTGTGCATAGACACATGGCAAGCGTTTGAGGCATGGGCCTGAGGTGTAGGTGTATGGTTGACTATACATTGGTAAGTGTAAGTCCTTGTTTATGGGGCAGTAATGTTAATGTCCATCGTTTGGTGAGGACGACTCAACATATCGCAACAATTCCTGCTTTGCGTCTGTGGGCATATCATGCCAACGCTCATTCAAAATAACGTTTGCAAACGGATCCCCGGGTCCACTCCCACAGCGCCGGACAAGGGAATAATGTGAATGCTGTAGCGGCCAGCGCACAGGGACACGACAATTTGCAGCGCGGAACGATATACGCAGTAAGCGACGAAAGGGCTCTATCATGCGTGTTCGAACAAGACGATACGTAATTTCGGAAGATCGGTCCGGCCTGGCCTCATCCTCGTCCAGGTAGAAGTCCGAAGAGAGCAGCTGTAAGAACTCAAACTGTGCATCTGACCAGGGCGAACGCAAGACCTTGTCTGGAATACGACCAGGTCCAATAACCCCTGAGCACGGCAGCCGGAAGAGGTCGTTCTCGTGGTATATCTCGTAGGGCTTACGAATCTGAACAGCGCCAAAATGGAACCATATGGCCACTTTGCGGTCGACGGTGCGGGATGACGGGGTCCGCGAGGTCTCCTCCAGCTGTGCGGGGATTACAAGATCCCCTTTCCCACGCCGGCCGAGTAGGGCCCAGTCACAGGCTTCTAGGTTCTCGAATAGTGGGTCCAGATTTGACAGCACTTCTTGGTCGTCCGGGTGGAAGACCAGGCCGGTACATTTGCGTCGGATGGCATGGGCAACATACTCACGCTGGCATTTCCGGAGCAGAGGAAATGTGCACCACCGACATGCCAGCAGGTCGGTCTGTAATTTTTGGCGCTCTTTCCAGGACAAGGCCCAGAAATCCAAAGGCGGGGGTAGGAAATCCGGGGTAAAGAAGCCCTCTCGCGATCCTGAATTGGGACTGCTAAATGCAAGCCGAATGAGCCATGTATAGAGCAATGGGGTAGACAGTGCTTGGCTGAGACTTGGTGAGGCGCGAGGGAAGTTCACCTCAAGGCTGTAAAGAAAGATCAACTGCAGGATTTCCACGGGCAGTGACTCAAGTCGCGAGCACCGGTGGTCGGCCAACGGATCGGAGGGGCCTGGGCCCATTTGCGACGGTGGGTCTAGGTGCAATGCGTTCTTATTGAGCTTTAATGGCTTGCTCGCGGTGAGACGATGTTCACTGGTAAATCACACGGTAATTATGTAGCTGTAAGTGGCCAGGGAGGAGGAAGAGTAGAAACGGATCTCAATGGAAACGCAGCCCAAACATTACCAACTGCAGACTTCGCATAGTGGTGTCCCTATAGCTCCTTGTGACTTGTGAGATATGCACTTGACGGCGCTTCTAGCGCAGTCTCCAGTGAAGATGGTTGAAAGGTAAAAGCCCGACCCATAGCTGGGAGAGGGGTAGGTAAAGTGGGTAAACTGAGATGAGTTGCGTGTCTTGGCAAGGCCATCTTGGAAGCTCCTCAAGTGCGTTTATGCATGTGACGTGATTGTCAGCTGCGTCTAAATAGATTGGAAGTTCTTCTTCGGGTTCCAAAAAGAAATCGTTTTCATGTGAGAACTTCGCTATATATTCAGGCTCAATCCCCACGTCCAAAGGGGCTTGCAGGTAAATTGATCATATATTTCTGACGTTGACTAACTTTCTACCATGTATATATGTTTCAACCAATTCTAGCCATTCGAATAACAATGTAGTTGAAATCGTACTAGATTACGGTAGAATCCATAAATGAACGCAGAAACGACAAATGTATTGTTTCTATACACATCCCAACTGCCCCACCATGCTATCGGAGGTATCTGACCACACACTGGCTGAATGGCCATCTTCTTGGCTCCAAAAGTTATGATCAAATAGCGTGATGAAGCAAGGAATAAAAAGGCTGGTTTGAGGCCACAAGAGTCCACGCTTAAACAGCGGACAGATCGCCGAAGCGCTCCTGCGAAAAAAAAAAACGTATTGGTATCAAAACAGACGAATTGCTCTTAGAAAGACAGCTAAAACATACCTTGTAGCCAGGGGGCATCCACTTGCCCTTGGAGACGAGGGAGGCGGTCTTCTCGTCAATCTCGGGCTGGGCGGCGGCAACCTCGTCCTAAAAAAGTAGACATGTAAGTATTGATTCCGACTTCGCGGTCTGCAGATGATACGTACGACTGTGAGATCTTCGAAGGGACGGGCGGTCTCGATGTTCTCCAGGGTCTTCTGCAGGTTTTGCAGCTCGGCCTCAACCTTGCCCTTGGTAGCCTCGGCGTTCTTAACAGCCTGAGACTCGAAGGCATCAATCGCCTTCAACTGACGGTTGACATCGTAGGTGGCGGGCTTGAAGGTCTTGAAGTGGTTCTCGAGCTCGTCGATGATAGCCTGGTTCTTCAGGATGCCGCGGTAGTAGCTGAAGTCAACGGTCTGGGGCTGCTCAGACAGGACCTGGACCTTGCGGCGAGCCTCGTCGTTGCGCTTCTTGAAAGCTTGGAGAGAGATGGCGGTCTGGCCGCGGAGGCCGAGGGAGGTCGTCACCTTGGCCCAGTCGATCTTGAGAGCGGCGCTGCGCTGTTTTCGGGTGAATGGAGTTAGCGGGAGTCATCCGGACCGATTGACAAGGGGTTTGCCATGTTGAGGAGCAGGATTAAAACATACAGCAGCCATTGTGACGAGTACGATAGAGGTTGGGGGTGGGGAAAAGAGAGGAGGAGTTCACTGTGCAGGGAGATGCCGAACGAGGAGCGACCCGGAAGGTTTGGATTGTTCGAGTCACGTGACACTGATTCCGAAATCCACCGCGTATTGTACTAGAAAGGGCAAATTATAGAGCGATCATGCTGATTATTACGAAGAATCTAGGTCAGGTTTTGATTTTGATCATTATAAAATCTACAGAGTGATTGATTGACACAATCATGGGTTCAATTGTTTTTTGGGCTAATTTGTGTACACTATGGGCGACAACATGCCAGATATCTTCCATCCGGAATTATAACCCAAGTTCCTCAGAGAACCTTAAATACGGTCACTCATTATATGCTGAGAGCCATGATGGAGTTAACGATATCGTTGTCGTTCTCCCGGAGAGCCTTGACGGCCTTCTTGCGGGAAACGTTTGCTTGTGCCATAACCAGCTCGATATCCTTGGACTCAAGGTTGGACTCATCAACCTCCTCACCATCATCCTCCTCATCCTCCTTCTTATCCTCGGTCTCGGGGGCCTTGGCCTTGCCGAGAATCTCCTCGTGGTCGTGACCGGCGTGGTCACCGGCGGCCTCGGAGGCAGCGAGCTGCTGGGCGGCGGAAGCCTGGGCCTGGGAGTTCAGGTCCTCAATCTTGGCCTCACCGAAGATGCTAGAAGTTTGTCAGTAAACGGGATGCACACATGAATAACTCCAACTTGGTTTCACATACATCCAGCAGTTGCTGTTGGGGGAACGGTAAACCTCGGGCTGGTTAACAACGAAGAGAATCTTTAATTCTAACGATTAGCATCTCCATATCGAAGATCAAAGCACTTCATCCCCTTGGTAGCCAGTGTTGAAGTTTATGGTCGCAATCACATTGTACTTGGCGGGGTAGAAATTCTCATGACGGTCGCATCGGGATCACATACGTTCTTGGGACGGCGGAGAGTGACACGGGTGATGCCAGGGACAAGCTTCAAGCCGAGCTTGCCGATGGCCTTGCGAGCCTTCTTCTCACCACGGGAGTGGATAGCGACGGAGGCACCGGCGGGAATGTTGGGCTCATCGCCAGCCTCGGAGCCAGACTCAGAGGAGCTCTCCTCGACGGTCTTGGAGACTTCGTCATCGTGGATTTCTTCAACGCGGGGATCAGCCATTTTTGCGGTGTAAAGAGGCCTAAGAAGAATCCGAAAAAAAACAAAGTTGATTAGTTGGATTATTTCGTTCGGCAAGGGGTGTCAGGGCTGATTGAATGGTGAGAGAGCGGGCATAGTGGGAGAGATTGGAGGGATTGGTCAACCACACCCCACGAATCGCACAACACTCGGGAAAGGGCGGGATTTGATATTGAAAAGGCGAGAATTCAGCCGATTAAGTACTCATACATACCTGAGAGGTAGATATCAAGCTGTTGTGAGTGGGGTTGGATTTTGTTGAAGTTGAAGGTGCGTAGCTGTGCGCCAGACCGAACCCGAAAATCATTAGCGAGCGCCCACCCCCAGACTGCCCGCCCTGCACACATTGCCCTATATGGAACTACATCACCAAATCTGAACTAGATTGGCTAATAACTTAGAGATCTCATCTAGATCAAATACAGATGTATATAGGCGTTACAGTTAATACAGTTTCCAGGTCATTATTTACGCATCTGCTCATTCTATTCTTTTTTTGTAGAGCCAGATATTCAATATTCCCGTAGATTGGGGGATATAAAATGAGTCCAAAGCCGGAGGAAAACCAAGTGATAAAAGGCCCCTTTGCCGGGATATCAAGGATTTTGAATCATTTTTGCTGTTCATTGATATGCATACAGCGATTTTGCCAGAGTATTACCAGCAATGGAAACCCTTCCAGGACACCTCCTTCAAACCCATGCACCGAAACCTCGTAATCATCTATGACTTGTTGGCAGCACGAGCCTTAGCGTGGGACTTCTGGACCTCGTAGCGAGCCTGGAGTTCTGTTAGTTCAACTGTTCCTAATGCCCCAGATTATCGGATCGGTTGGGACCAGGCGCATTATGCCAGAACAATCCCCAATTTGACACGTTGTCCACGTACCTGCTTGCGGAGGCGCAGAACCTTGAAACGCTCGAAGTCGGACAGGTTCTTGCGGCGCTCGGAGCGTTCGGTGCGCTGAGCGAAGGAGCTCTTGGCCCATTTGCCATCAATCTCGTTCTTAGCCCACAGCTTCTTGACGGGGCCGGTACCGGCAGCACGGGGAAGCTTGGGGATGGTGAAGTGAGTGAGGGTAGCGTGAGCGAGGGGGAGAACGTGACGGGGCACGATCTTCTGCTCCTCGGTGGAGGGACCGTCGACCAGGACCTGAACAAAAAAAATCGCAAGTCAATACACATTCCGACTCCAAGATCTCCAAGAATCCGATTATCCAAATTCGACACGATTTCCGGATTCACAGGGCGATTCCACATACACGGCGGTGGTCCACGATCTCAACGATGACAGCAAGCTTGCCCTCGAAGGGTCCGCTGCGGATCAGCACTAGGCGGCCAACCTCAACCAGCTTCCACGAAGCGACCTTGACATCGATATCGGCCATGGCGAAATTCTGCGAGACGAAAAATTCAGCGTCGCGGTTCTGTAATATTTGTAGATTGCACACTCACGGTCGACAGGGGGTATGAGTCGAGAAGGGGTTGTCGAAAGAGTTCAATTGTCCAAGAATTGTCTCGAAATTCGGATGTGCCCACACTCGCAACATTCTCGCTTAACCGGCCACTTGCAGGTCTAGGGCTCTGATTATCTCAGCACCCGCATTAACCTTTACCCGAGACCGTGCATTTATCTCGTTTTTTTTGGTGCAGGGCCTTAGTTGATTCCTTCAAGCTTCTCAGCTTCATGAGCTTAAAGACTTTAATGATGAGTCTGCATTTGCTTTCATTTTGACAACTGCTCAAATGTAGCGTTTATTAAGGTATGCCCATCTTCCTCAATTTACCGCCAGACTTCGGATCTTTTTTCCCCTTGTTCCTCATATGATGCCGTAATTTGCGATTGACCCAGTGTCTGTGAGGCCCTCGCCGGGGCACTCTATACAGCACTGTCGGATGATATTCAATTTTCTTACATATTCTGATATGGACTATAACCCTAATACCAAGCTGTCAATGCTTCCGAGAGACCTTGCGCTAACGGTTTTGAAGATTTTAGGATACAGTGATTACTTCGAGACCTCTATCGACAACATTGCAGCTTGCCTTTTCACAGGGTATGTTTACACAATCCTCCACCACGATACCTCCCAGGTCCGATGATTAGAAACTTTTATCACGCCTAGATAGTAATTGAGCTTCTCGCTATGAAATTACCTAACTACCAAGATCTCTGAGAACCTTATCACCTTGCCATTATTGTTGCTTGCTATGTTGGTTGTGACTAGTCGCTAACCTTCGAAAAGATTTAAGGATCTCCTGCGTCAGATTGGCAAGTCGCCCTCTTATATAGCCAATGAAATGCCACTTGTATTACAGCAGACTTTTTTCTCTTCAGTAGCTTATATTACATGGTGGCACTCGTGTGTCTTCGAAGCTCAGCTTGACTTTCCGTGACCCACCCATGTTAAACATCTACACAACACCTCGATACGCATGCAAATAGTTTTGATTACAAAAGTCGTGCTATATCGTTACCTCGGCCGTGCAATGCCCAAAGACCTAGAGCAAGCCACTTGTCCCTTCATGCTATGCTTTCATATAAACCCAGTCTATCTCTTCCAAATAGCAAAAAGCAAACCATTCCTTGCCCCTTTGCGCACTTGATTATGACGATGCAGAGCCGGCAGATGCCGCGGAGGACGGTCTCCCGCGACTGAGCACCCACATGAAGATGAACTGAACCGCGTAGGAGTATACGAACAAGAACTGACCGCGTCGATTGCGCTGGGAACGAGCCACGGCCTGCATCGAACCGGCATGCATGGCTGAGTCAGTCGAATCGGGAAGCAATACATATTTCAGCGAGCGAAGCTAGAGTTTAATATTAGCAACCGCGGAAGGCACTTGAGAGATAATAGAATTCGTCACTCACCATGAAGAACGCATTGGCCAAAAACGTGTATGCAAACACCGTCCACCCGACCCAGCCCCTTGTCCCTTGTCCGGGGTTGAAGATCTGAGACGCCACCATGGTGATGATGATTCCAACGAACTTGTAGCCCGAGTACGCCACCAAGTCCAGCAGCTGCGAATCATTATTGATGCTCAAAATGTACGTCGCCAGCTTTAAGCATAAAATCTCGAAGGCGATCACTGCAATGGCCGTGGTGGTGATCGACCCCAGAAGCTCAGGGTGGAAATCGCCCCGAAATCCAGCCAGCAACACCGACAACAGAATATATGTGACCAAGGCCATGACAGGAATATACAGGTCCGGCGAGTTCAGGTCGTCCCGAGGAGGCAGGAAAATTGACGAATATTGTTGCTGCAGGATTTGACCACTTGCACCGGTGGTTGGAGCCATTCGAGTTTGCTGTCTGGACCAGGGTTTGTGTCGCCAGGGGAAGAGGACAAGGATCAGCTTGTTCAGGACGTAGGAGTTGGAAACGTTAAAGTAGTGCTTGAGAGCGGGTATAGAGACATAGCGATTGAACTGTGAATTAACTCTAGGTTAGCTATAAGTGGTCAATGGAGATCTATCAATGGAGCATACGTTATTCTCCATATACTCCTGTCCAGCCGCCATTGCACTTTTGCCAACCTGGAAGCCCATCTGCGCCGTGGGTTCGTTCATGAACCCACCGAATGCAGGAGCACCCGGGGCATAGCTTCCACTGCCACCCTGGGATAGCGACGGCTGGTAAGGGTTGCCGCCATATCCAGCACTTGGGTGTTGTTGGGGAGCTTGTGGTGGAGGTGAACGCATCATCGGGACGGTCGAGACATGTTGCGGGACGGGGTGGTGAAGGGGCGGCGATTGCGCGGGCGGGGGAGCGAAAGAGCCCCGATACATAATGCACTAAATAGAAAAACGAAGATAGAAGGAAAAGGAGCGTGGAACTTTGGTGGTGAACGTGTCGTCCGGATTGTGTGACGGGGGTTTGGGGAAGAAGCGAGGTTGATAGAGCGGAGGAAAGTGTTTAAACGTGGCTGAAGTGCCAATCCGTTTCCGAGCTCACTCGCCCCGTTCCGCCACCAACAAGTCACACCGGGCCTTTTTTCCCTCCCACATTGAATAGCTGCTTCTCACACTTTACGATCGATTGCCGGAGATACTCAGAATGTTGGAGACTTTTGAAATTTTGACGACATCGGGCGTGGTGCTCTGGTCTAAGGCGTACGCTCCAGTCGGCGCACATGTCATTAACAGCCTGATCAACGATGTCTTTATCGAGGAGAAGGTTGTGCCACAGAATGTGACAGCTGATGGAATCTCGCCGGCATTCAAGAAGGAGAAATACACACTGAAATGGAAGAGAGTCAAGGAATTCGATTTGATCTTCGTGGTAAGTCTGTCGCATGCGCATGCGCCTCGCTGCTTCGACTAACCCTGATCTGATGCAGGCCGTCTACCAATCTCTACTCCACCTTGGCTGGATCGACAAACTTCTTGAGAACATTTCGACGATCTTTATCGATCTCTACAAGGACCAGGTGAAGGGAAACCGCGTGAGAATCCAGACCTATCGCTTCGACCAATACTTTGAACAGCAAGTTCGGGAGCTTGAAGACAACACTGGTGGCTTTGTAGAGGAGCATGTGCCAGAGATGGGTGACAAGAAAGACCCGCTTGTTTCGTCGGACAATGGAGGCCCACCGCCGCCACCGGTACCTGGCCTGGTGAAAGGTATGGAATGACAACTCTCGGTCTCAAGCGCATGCTGACCATTCCAAAGCGCAGCCTAGAGCTGCGCTAGCCGGGGCAACCTCTGATGAGGGTACGCCACCAGGTACACCAGAAATTTCTAGATCTTCGACCCCTCAGGGTCATCTTCTTACAGCGAAAGCCGGGCCTGGAGGTCGCGGTTCCCGGCGTTCCCGCAAGGCTGCCAACTCAAGCGCCAACGCATCGTCTGGCGATGAAGTCCGGAAGGGAAAGCCTGCCAAGACCCCTGTGAAGAAGATGCGCAGATGGGATGCCAGTGGGATGGCAGATGAAGATGATGGAGAGATCCTTGATTATTCTGCCCCTGCGGAAGAAGGAGAGGCTGCCGCTCCTGCAGTGGAAGCTGTCTCCGAGGATGATTGGGGACGTCGAACTGGCAAGGGCCAATTCGTGCTGAAGGAGTTAGGCGAGGAAGTTCAATCCATCTTGGACCAAGCTGATGCGGAGAAGTCCAAGGCCACTGTTTCGTCGGGTGTCGTTGGCTCCGGGTTCAATGCAATTGGTGGCTTCTTCCGTAACATTGTTGGAGGAAAGGTTCTGACAGAATCTGATCTCGAGAAGCCTCTCAAGGCGATGGAAGAACACCTTTTGAAGAAGAACGTCGCCCGCGAAGCTGCTGTTCGGCTCTGCGAGGGTGTCAAACGTGAGATGATTGGCAAAAAGACTGGCAACTTCCAGAGTACTGATGCCGCATTGCATGTGGCCATGGAATCCTCTCTGCGGAAGATCCTGACGCCGACTTCTTCTTTGGATTTGCTGCGGGAGATCAACGCCGTGGTTGCTCCCACCACCAAACAGCAGGCGCCTCGTCCATACGTCATGTCTATCGTTGGTGTCAACGGCGTTGGAAAGTCGACCAACCTGAGTAAGATCTGTTACTTCTTACTTCAAAACAAATACCGCGTTCTTATTGCAGCATGCGATACCTTCCGTTCCGGTGCCGTGGAGCAGCTCCGCGTGCACGCTGATCGCTTGAAGGAATTGAGCGTCCGCGAGAATACAGGCGACGTAGAGATCTACCAAAAGGGTTACGGCAAGGACGCAGCCAACGTTGCCAAGGATGCAGTTGACTACGCTGCGGCCAACAAATTTGATGTTGTTTTGATCGATACTGCCGGCCGTCGGCATAATGACCAGCGGCTAATGTCCTCGCTTGAGAAATTCGCCAAGTTTGCTAATCCAGACAAGATTTTCATGGTCGGTGAGGCTCTGGTTGGCACGGACAGCGTCATGCAGGCCCGCAACTTCAACCAGGCATTTGGCACGGGCAGGAATTTGGACGGCTTCATAATCAGTAAGTGTGACACCGTCGGTGACATGGTGGGAACCCTGGTTAGCATGGTCCATGCCACGGGAATCCCCATTGTGTTTTTGGGCGTTGGACAACACTACGGAGATCTGCGAGGGCTGAGTGTTCCCTGGGCAGTTAGTCTATTGATGAAGTAGGGACAACTTGATGTCTTAATTGAATCTTTCTTAGCCATGTGCATTTGGTATGAATATTTTGCTATCTACTTTGTCACTTGTAGTTAAGGAGCCGTAGTCTCGTATGACGGACTCCCTGTTTACAATGAGGACTTCATTTATCTGCCACACATCCCATTGCGAGCACTAATTCAAGACAACTAATCCCTCATAGCCTTGTCGAGGTCATTCATGGACAGACATGTGCTTTACTTGGTATCCAGCCGTAACCAGGTGTCTATTTGGCCTAAAACATCCACCACCGCCGCTGACGTGTATAGCTGGTGGACTCCCAGTCTCTCAGGTTTGCATGTATCGGTACAGCTGTCTCATACTGGTGTTGTAGCGAGATTTCTTAATTATGCTTCCATAATGGTGCACTGTCCCTATCTACCAGCAGTTCCCTGTGCCAGCCCAGCATCATCATGTTGGACGATGTCTATGATCTTGCGCGTGTATCCTACATATTTGGACAATATGATCTCAGATCCCATGAT